TAAGACAGTGGCTGGGACTGGGGTCACCTGATTGCCTGACTGGGGTGAATGCCCAGTGTTGGCTACCAGTGGATGGCTGGCCGTTAAGTAGGACCTCAGCTGGGGCCACCGTTTTGAAACGCTTACTGAGGCCTTTGCATGTGGCTTAAGTTTCTCACAGTAAGATGCCTGGATTCCCAGAGGGAGCATCCTAAGAGCAAATATTCTCTTAGAGACCTAGGTGTCTTAGAATGGCTTCTTATGAACTGTAAGTCTCAGAACGCCACTTCACTATATTTTATTGGTCAAGCAGGTCACTGAGTACAGCCAGATTCAAGGGAAGGGTTATTAGATGTTACCTCTTGATGGGACGTGCCAAGGTCACAGAGAAGAACGTGTGGAAAGGGAGTTATTATTGTTATCTTTGGAATACATGATTTCCCACAGAGGCCTGTTATGTTTATAGGGGTTGAATCAGAGCTGAGACTAGATAACTAAATAATGAAATATATCATTAGGCTAAAACAATGGATTTTAATAAATAACAATAAATTATAATTGTGATACCTAAGACACACAGTTCTTAAGAACTTGAATGGCAAAATGTGATGTAAGGGGGCCGGCAGAGTGGCGCGTTGGTTAAGAGTTGGCTTGGGAGCGCCAGCTCTGAGCATCAGGGCCCCGGTTCGGATCCCACATGAGGGCCAGTGACACTGCGCCCTCTACAGCTAAGATGGTGAACAACAGCTCGACCTGGAGCTGGACTGCTGAGTCACCGGTGACAGTGTAGGCTGCAGCCTCTGCTGTAGTGGGCTGCCATAGGCTACCATGAGTGGCTGGCAGCTGGTGTGAGCTGCCATGAGTGGCCGTCCCAATGGCCGGTGAGCGACTGCCTTACTCAGGAAGAGTGCAATGATCACAATACCAACATGGGCCAGTGAAGCTACGTCCTCCACAATTAGACTGAAGAACAAAAGGACAGCAACTTGTCTGTTCCCCTTCCCTGATTCCCCAGCACTGTGCCCCTCTTCCAATTCCCCAATAAAATCTTAAAAAAAAAAAATGTGATGTAAGGTTTCCTTTTTTTCCCCACCTAACATTTATTTATGACTTTGTATGTAGAAAACAAATTATTCTGTGTTGAGCGAGATCTGCTCACTTGTAGATATTTATAAATAGGAACAGCTAACATATGAAATCTTAACTGATTTGGTAGTCATGAAGATTTTTCATGATGATCTTTCATGGTTTTGTTTTATGTATGTGTTAGAGAGCACTTTTAGTTTATGAAAATTCATAAAAGCCAAAGTGAAGATGATGGCATAAATACCAGTTAATGAAAGTGTTATCAACAGAGTTATTTGCTGCCTGTGGAATATTTTTTCATAGTGTCATTTCAGTTTGTATGGAGAAGGTGATTTACTCTGACGTATTCCTGACCGAACTGGATTAATCATAAGGGCTTCCTTATGATTAGCCCTGATCTAAATTACAGCACTATATATGGAGGAATCTCACTTTTTGGGGTTTTTTCTTATCAAAGGAATGAGCAAGAATGAGAAATTTTCTTAATTGTTAGATCAAAGGAGTGACTGCTGATAAAATTTATTTAAAGACTATATCCTTTCTAGGCTTCCATTCAGAGCTTCGAGTTTTGTAGGTCTATGTTTTATATGGGAAACTGGAAGAGCCGGAGTTGCAAAAGAAAGCACGGCAGCATGGCTCTGTGATATTGTATATATGTCTGAAGATTAAGGGGGGTTCACACTTTAATTTTCATTTTCCTTGAAGCAATAGGTAGCTTAGTTTTAGTAGCTGTGACTTTAGATAGGAACTGAAAGTGGTATGAGAGAAGGGGAGTGTGAGAAGAGGGGATTTAGCTCCCTCTTAAAGTTCTGTTTTCTTTGAAGCTGACCGTACAGTTTGTTGAGGTGGAATGAAGAAATACTGGTGAATAATGAATAAGTGAAATTGACTTTGATCATTGACTTTCATCAGACTGACATAATCCAAGGCAGCTATGTACATTCTTGAAAAGTGTGTTTTCTGCCTGATCTATGATTTGAGAAAAAAGACATTATAAGCCACAACTACATGAAAGTACTGTTTTTTTCTTCCCCCCCCCTCTTATGAACTACTACATGACCCAGGCTTACGCATAAGATGATGATTTTTGTGGGTGAACATAGTTTTGGTTTGGGGGTGACCAGACATCTAGTTTACCCTGGACAATTTCAGTTTATGTCTGCTGTTCCTGTAGCGTGTCTAGTTGGCACCCCCTTTTACCCTCAGAAGGGTACTTGCATAGATGCCAAATTATACAGACACTGTGTTTGTGGTCAACTTCCTTTGGTGTTGAGAGGCTAATAGCCATAGTATACTTACTTCACTTAACTTTTAAGCCTTTTTAAAAACAGTGTTTTAATTGTAATTTTTCATTAAATTGTAAGATTTAATAATAAAAATTACATATTTCAGTTTTGCTTATTGTCTTGTGGGAGTACTGAAAAACTAACTTCAATAAATGCACAGAACAGAATAAGGTAGTTAATACTAGATTTTTATGGATCACTTCTGTTGTTGAATAATGCCAGTTTTATACACAATTCTGAAGTGATTCCTTTTTTTAGCTTATATTACATTTAAAAAGATACTGCTGTGTTGGCATGCATAGTGTTCATCAGCATTTATGAGCATTCTGATTGGCTTTGGAGCTCTATCATTTTTGGTACAGTATCCAACTTTGTTTTGGTGCCAGAGATATCTTTGCCTTGGTTTTAAAAATTGGCTGTGGTAAAACATTCAAACAATATAGAAATGAATAAAATAAAAAGTAAAAGGTCCATTTCACATCCCCTTCTCCCACTCCCCTTTCTAGAGGTCACCACAAGGTTAGATTTGAAGCTTAAAAAAAAAAGGAAGTGGTTTATAACCAATACACCAGAAATTTCATTTAAAAATTTGGTGGTCAAGTAACTGTAGAGGATTATTTTCTAAATGTTAATTCAGTGAGCTGAATCATCATTGGATTGTTAATTTTTAATGGTTTTAATTTTAGTATTCAGATAATCCCTTTTATGTATGGCCTTTATCAGTGCTTTGAAATGATAATTTTGCATTTTTATATGTCAGTGTGGTTTTCACAATGCAGAAATTAATGTGGCTTCATAGATTCTGGTTCCTAAAAGAAGTCCAACTGTGAAAAAGGCAAAATCTAAATAATGGTTTTACGGTATTTTTTCAGTCTTATAGTAAGCTGCTATCAGATACTTTTAATATCATTCAAAATCAATGGAGAAAGAGCTTTAGAATCGATAAGAGTTGATTTGAGTGCTTGACATATAATAGGTATTCAAGAAACATTACTTTTGTTTATTATTTTCCTCTTTTCCCTATGCTCTTTAAATAGAAACTTCTAAACAGGGAAACTTCCAAATAGCCTTAGAAATAAAAATCCTGTTTTTTATTCTCATTTTGCCCTGTTAAGAAGGACTTTTACCCCTCTATTTATTAAGTGCTCGGTAATTGTTTTTTTCAATTCTTAAAGAAACTTCTTAGGATAATTATTCTTACCGGACAATTTTTCCAGGGTTCATTGAAGTTCAAATCACTTGATAATGATTTTTTTTGTGTGTGTGTGTATTTATATTTACATATTTATTTCACATACCATAGAACTCACCACTTTAAAGTATGCAGTTCATTGGTTTTTAGTATATTCAGATGTTTGTGCAACTATCACCACTATCTAATTCCAGAATATTCATCACCCCCAAAAGAAACCCTGTACCCATTAGCAATTTCTCCCATTCCCACCTCTACTCAGCCCTAGAAATCAGTAATTTACTTTCTATCAGTATGGACTTACTATTCTAGACATTTCCTATAAATGGAATCATACAATATGTGGTTTTGTAACCGGCTTCTTTCACTTAATATGTTTTCAAGGTTCATCCATGTTGTAGTATATATCAATACTTCATTCCTTTTAAAAAATTATTTATTGTGGCAAAATATAAGTAACATAAAACTTACTATTTTGTTTTTAAGTGTGTAATTCAGTGGCATTCAGTACATTTACCATGTTGTGCGACCACCTACCACTATTCATTTCCAAACTTTTTCATCATCCCAAACAGGAACTCTCTATTCCCTCCTCTCCTAGTCACTGGTGATTTCTATTCTCTTTTGGTCTCTATGTATTTGCCTGTTTTAGGTAATTCATGTAAGTGGAATTATACAATATTTGTTCTTTTGTGTCTGGCTCTTCAACATAGAAATCTCAGTCACTTTGCCCAACCCTGTGGAGTTTTTATCTATGTATGCTTGGCAGATCTAAGTGGACCTCTCTGTGCAGGCATCTAGAACTCTTTCTTCATATAGCTCCTTTCTACTCTGTCCTGCACATTCTAGCTCCCTTGGGCATTCTGAATTCTGATTCCTGTTTCCTCAACTCAGGGATACAATGGTTCTCTTCTTGGGACTACCTTCTCTCCACTGAGATCCCAAAACTGCCTTTAGGCTGAAAGTCTGCCCTGGTATCTGGAAGGCGCACCTAGGTACAAAGTTGAGCCAAATGTCCCGCTGATTTGATTTATATTTCTTCTTAGAGATCATCATTCAGCACTGCCCAGGGTCTTGTGTCCTAAACAGTTACCTCAATATTTATTTTAAATATATTTTTCCAGTTTTGTAATTGTTTATAGCAGGAGTATAAGTCTGCTACCAGTTCCTCCATCATGACTGGAAGTGGAAGTCTTGGTCTACCATTTCATTTTCAAAACTTTTTTTCACCCAGGATTAGCCTGAAGTGCACAGTCTATGATTGCTAAGGAAAAGAGCCTGTTAATTTTGTTTGAAAAATTTAAAGGAACTTAGTGTACAATTTTTCAATTGTGTCATTAATAAAAATAACTTCTCTACCATATTCCCCCCTTTGTATAGTAGTCTATTGCCTATTATAGTTAAGGGGGGAAAACTGGATGTACTACTAATTGATTATTATATTTCTCATTTTTTAGACCTAAAGATTGTCTTCGGTCTATTATGAGGAGGGTGAACCATAAAGATCCTCATGTTGCTATGCAAGCTCTGACTGTGAGTGATTGCATTTTAAGTTCTACCACAAAATTATCTGCTGAAATTGAGTCCTTTTAACTTCTGAATTTTTTTATGTTTTAGCTTCTAGGAGCATGTGTATCAAACTGTGGCAAAATTTTTCATTTGGAAGTATGTTCAAGAGATTTTGCTAGTGAAGTAAGCAATGTATTAAACAAGGTAAGGAACATTATTTCCAGAAATGAATCAAGACACAGTCTTCTTTCTTTACATATTTTCTTGTTCAATTCTTCACATTGTAAATCACAAAGCACTAGTCTGTGCTTTTTTTTTTTAACTCTTTCCAGGCTTTGTCTATCCAATATATATAAGTAAATATTATGTTTTGCTGAAGAGACTACAAATTTATATAACTTCATGACTTGATTTTTTTCAAGCCAAATTAGAGTATATTTAATCTCTTTTTCATTCCTTTCACCTGATAAGTAAATATGTGTATATTTTTTATCTGGTTAAATAATACCAATCGATTTTAGGCACAGTTTTTTTGTAGCCACAGAGGTATTTTCCCGAGGTGGAAGTGTTCAGAAATATTGGCAAAATATCGCACGGTTGAGTTTCATCTTGACATGAAAAAGGCCACTACCTGACCATCACAGGATTTTAATACTATACTATCTACTTAACTTAATGTAGAATAAAGAATTCAAATCCTGCAATTTAAGGACTTAACAAAACTAAGGTACTAAGTAATATGTGAGTTTTCTCAGTAAAAATTTGTGCATTTTAGAGGTAATTATTCCTGACTGTTGGCAGGGGGGTATATTATATATCAAGAAAAGATTTTTAAATGTTAAAAGGGAAAATGCCCTTTTTTTTTGGGAAAAATTAGTATTTCCAAGTTTTAATAGAAAACAGTGCAGAAATAAGATAAGAATTTAAAATCCTGTACTTCTTTTCACACATTATAATTAGGGCCTATTTTTTTTCCTGTTCTGCTTTTATTCAGTTATATTTAGGTGTTTTCTACTAATTAATAACCATTTATTTAATGTCCTGAATGGTCATCAAAATGTACCGCTGTTTATGAAGAGATTCTATTGTAATGAGATTCTATTGTAATGTTTTCTCTAATTTAATTGAAGATGTGGTACTCAGTAGCATGAACAACTGTTTTGAAAAGCAAATAGTTACATATAGGAGAAAGCACTTCTCTTTATTTTCTAAGTATTTTACAGTGAACGTACTGGTTTTATACTTAAGGAGGAGATGTTATTTTAAAGAAATAAAGTTTGAGAGGAAGAGAAGGTAATATGATGATGGAAGCAGAGACATAAACTGAAAAATGCTGGTAGCCTCTAAAAGCTGGAAGAGGACTTAAACCTGGAAGGATGTAAACCTAGAACTTCAGAAGCTGTCTGAAAGTAATGCCAACCAAGAAAAGGCAGAGCTAAGAGACGGAGGTAGGCAAATTCCTGGTGATATCATTGGAAGTCCTGGATACAGCCATACTTGAAATGAACTGTGCCCTGGCCTTTGCAGGAATATGAGCTAATACGTCATGGATCCTTAAAAGTACCTCCCTGAAGAGAAATTCCTCATTTCTGGTACTCCAATCCCACGTCCTTAATATTTCTCTAAAGCTTCTTCCCGTGATCCACGTCAGGGAAAACTCCCCAAATTCCAAATCAAACTCAGATCCAGTCGGGACGCCAAACTTGGCCGAAAAAGAGCGATCCGGCTCTTAAGCTGTGGTAACGGTGGGAAGGCCTCTTTCTTCAGTAAAACAGATGCTCTTATGAAAGCCGCAGATCGGTCTACGCATGCAAAGAGGCTTGGCTTCCTCTCATTTTGGGGGAATTCTGTCGGCTGTCTGCAGGGGAAAGAAAATTCGTGTCGTCCAGCCAACCCTGTAAGAGGGCAACTACGCCTGCGCAAAGCTGTTGACGCGCGCAGGAACCTCAGCATCTCTGAGCGAGAGAAAATCCACCCCTCCTGTTCGCCTAGGCCTTAACCCCTTCTGATCCCTTCGTGGAGCTTTCTTTTTCCCCTCTAACCTCTGAAAAAAGGGGGCAGGACATTGGGGTGGAAGTAGCGGTGCATTGTGGGCTTGCGTAGAGCAGTGGAGTTGAGCTTGAATGAAAGTGGCGCGCAGCCCCTGACATTATCCGGGTAGGAGCGGCTGGAACTCGGACCTCGGGATTTCTGTTCCTCGCACCTCCGGTGCGGAACAGACCGCGAGGGGGCAGTGGCGGAGGAGCGGCGAGCTTTGGTGGCTTTGTGCGGCCCCAAGACATGGCTCACAACAAGATCCCGCCGCGGTGGCTGAATTGTCCGCGACGCGGCCAGCCGGTGGCAGGAAGAGTCTTACCTCTGAAGACAATGTTAGGACCAAGATATGATAGTCAAGTTGCTGAAGAAAATCGATTCCATCCCAGTATGCTCTCAAATTATCTAAAGAGCCTGAAGGTGAAAATGGGCTTGTTGGTGGATCTGACAAATACTTCAAGGGTCTATGACAGAAATGACATAGAAAAAGAAGGAATCAAATATATAAAACTTAAGTGTAAAGGGTATGGTGAGTGCCCCACTACTGAGAATACGGAGATATTTATTCATCTATGTGAGCGGTTTAATGAAGGAAACCCACATGAACTTATAGGTGTTCATTGTACCCATGGTTTCAATCGCACTGGTTTCTTCATATGTGCCTTTTTGGTGGAAAAAATGGAGTATTGAAGCAGCAGTTGCTACTTTTGCTCAAGCCAGACCACCAGGAATTTATAAGGGTGATTATTTGAAAGAACTTTTCGTCGCTATGGTGATACAGAGGAAGCACCACCCCCACCTCTATTGCCAGATTGGTGTTTTGAGGATGATGAAGATGAGGATGAGGATGGAAAAAAGGAATCAGAACCTGGGTCAAGTGCCTCCTTTGGCAAAAGGAGAAAAGAACAGTTAAAACTGGTAATGTTTGAAATTAGTATAGTCTTTACTATTCTGGCTATTTCTAAAGATTCCTGATAGCCATGTGTCTGCCTTTTCTTCAAGAAAAGGTACAGTTATGTAAATACATTCTGTTTTTGTTTCTTAGATAAACAAAGAACTCTTAGACTTCGTATTAAGAATATACTATTTCTTTGCAAAGTATTGTGAGGTTCTAACTAAGTATCTAGTGAAAATTTTACTAATGCTTTACAAAATTCCCGCAGAGTTACAATAACTTCACATATAAATTCCCCTTCTTTTTGGTGGTATGTTTGTTTATATTTTCTGCAAAGTTGAACTAAGAAGACTTTTACTTTTACGGTCAACTCCCATTAATCTTCTAGAAATAAAAGACTTAACTAAAAAGATGAGTTAATCTCCCTTTCTTGGAGGGATAGAAGAGATGTTGAGAAGAAAAGTATTGGTTGACCTTGTGCATACACAGGTATGTGGCCTAGACCAGAGAGGTAAGTTAGGGAAACTGTGGAGATAATTAAGTGCTAATGAAGTTAATAATTAAGGTGTGGGAATCATGGTGGGGCAGTAAACAGCCACAGCATTTATTAGTAGGCAGTGATTCACAGGCAAGGAAGAAAATGTCTTGTTCTATGTCAATCATATAATGGTTATTTTGGGCTTTAAAAAATGTCCCTTGTTGCAAATGGCATTATTTCATCTTTTCTTATGGCAGGATAATATTCCATTGTGTATATGTACCACATCTTCTTTATTCAATCATCTATTGAAGGACACTGGTTGTTTCCATGTCTTTGCCACTGTAAATAAAGCTGCAATGAACATCGGAGCACACACATCTTTATGGATCTTGAGATTATTATGTTAAGTGAAGTAAGTCAGACAGAAAAAGTCGAGAACCATGTGATTTCACTGATTTGTGAGATATAAAACTGAAAGCAACAAAGGAACAAGACAAACGAAGAACAAAAACTCAATAGACATAGACAGTAGTTTAGTGGTTACTAGAGGGGAAGTGGGGAAGAGAGTGGTAGATGAGGGTAAACGGGATCAAATATATGGTGATGGAAAGAGAACTGACTCTGGGCGATGAACACACAACGTAATATATAGATAATGTATTACAGAATTGTACACGTGAAACCTATGTAACTTTACTAACCATTGTCACCCTAATAAACTTTAATTAAAAAAATAAATAAAGTTTCCAGGGGCCGGACGAGTGGCTCAGTTATTTAAGAATGCGAGCCCTGAGCAACAGGGTTGCCGGTTCGATACCCACATGGGCCAGTGAGCTGCCACTAGGTGGCAGGATGGCTCAACTGGTGAGAGCATGTGCTCCTAACAACTAGGTTGCTGGTTCGACTGCCCGCCTGGGATGGTGGGTTACACTCCCCCACTCCCCGCCACAACTAAGATTGAACACAGCTGAGTGGCCGCGAACTGCTGATGGGCAGCTGGATGATGACTGGACTTGGGAGCTGAGCTAGCTGCGCCCTCTACAACTAAAATTGAAGGACAACAGCTTGTCTGTTCTGCTTTCCCAATTCCCCAATAAAATCTTTGGGAAAAAAAAAAAAGTTTCCAGGGATATTGACATGCAGTGGATCTCAAACCAGGTTTCAAATAATTAAGCAACTGGGGGAGAAACATACAGTTATACACATTAAAAGTCAGGAATTAGAAATAAAGGAACTATACCATTTATTCTGTTTCCAACTTTTTATTGGTCTATAAAAAAACAAAACTAAACATTACTTTGTCTTCCTGATGTACAAGTTTTGCTTAGTTGTAAAATACTCTGCAAAGTCCTGTCTTTCTGACCTCCAAAATAAGTTATTACATATTTAATCTGTTTTAATTTGATGTGTAGTATGTATGATATCTTCTCTTGTTCTTTCATAGTGTGAAAATAGAATTAATTTTTTCTAATCAACTATATTTTATGGATTATCTCAGGGGTGTCAAACTCAATTAAAACACAGGCCATTTGGTGCAACAGGCAAGATTCACACGGGCCACATCATATTTACAAATTTTGTTAAATTTATATTCTGAAGTGAGGATTCAGGAATATGGATAGGATA